GGACGGAGGATGGGAAGGGTCAAAGTCCATAGCGGAGGTGTAGTCAAGGCTGTAACGTAGTATGCGGCACCAGCGACGAGGGCAGAGACACCAGCAGGAGGAGCCATAGGGTCCGTCACAAGAGAGGCAAGCAAGCAGGAGACGACTGGACGAGCAATGCGAGGGAGGAGCAGAGGACGGTAGGGACAACTAGGGAGGTAACGGTAGGGCGAGGACTAGAGGAGCACGAGAACGACGAACCATAAGGTCGACACGAGTGCAAAGAGAGACAGGACGACCAACGGGGGGACGATGCAACCACGGATGGGCAACGGGGGATGGTACAGGGGACGGAGGAGAACAAGGGGGGAAATGAGCCGGAGACGAGTCAGGGGGAGGGAACAGTCGCAGATGGGGGGAGGCGGGAGGGGACGCGTTGTTGGAGGGATGGGCAGGCGGTCAGGGGAAAGGCCAGAGCCCCCAGCCCCACCACTACTACCGCCAATACGCTCCGAGCCAGCACCCCCAAGACTAGCACCCCTAGGATCAGCACCCCCAGAACCACCACCCCCAGGGCCCATGGTACCCGGCCGCTGCTCCAGGTGCTATAAAGCTGCGGAGGCTGCTGCTGTTGTGGCGGCCGCAGTGGGGAAGGCCGCTGAGGTGCCTGAGGCACCGGGGCTGGCAGGAGGGGAGCCATAGCTGCGGCGGGTGCACCCCCAGCCACGGGGCTCCCAGAGTCAGAAGACTCCCCTACGGACCCAACCGAGAGGAGAGGGGTTGCGTGGGAGGCATCAGACGGGGCCGGGTGGGGTGGGAGGGGAGCGGCAGGTAGTGCAAGAGTTAAAGGGTGATTCAAGTGGGCGGGGTGTGGTCGGCGAGTTGGGCCTCGGTGCACGCCGCACGAAAGCCAGTCTCGAGGGAGAGCAGGTGCGCGACAAGATCTGCCACCGTCGAGAAGGAGGCCAGGTCGGGGAAGAGGTTTGAGAGGAGGAGGCGGCCGAGGGTGGTGGAGGACGGGGTCGATTTGGGGGCGGCAAGCGCATCCCAGAGGGCCAGAGCCACCTCCTCTGACTCAAAGCGGGAGTGCTCGTCGACTGAGTGATGGTGACCTGCACGGCGGCGTTGCGAGACTCCCATATAGAGCGGGCAGTCCGGGCCACTGCATACTCCTCACGATGGCGTCGACGTCGCCTCGGGGCCAAGAGGATCAGTGTGAGGGGGGGGGGGAAGACGGGCAGCTCACCAGTGACGTGGCCCGCCAGTGACTCGCCCTCCACAGGCTGGGTCAGCAGCTGCTGGTGGAGAGAGGAAAGCCAGGCCGTGAACCCGATCGCTCGGCCTTCGGCGTCCAGCCGAAGGACGAACACCAACGCCGAGGGGGCCGCCATGCCGGCACGAGAAACCTACACGACACTTACCCGGACAGGGGCCAGTGTAGGCAGGGGCGGCACACGACGACAGCGGCGGCGGTAGGGTTGTCGGCAGGTCCAGCGACAGCTCCGGCAACAGGCGGGTAGGAGCCATCGAACGAGGGGATGGGTGCCGGTGGCCCGCGGCAAAGGACGGTGCCGACGGCTGCAGTGCCAGCACGTGGGGCAGTAGCGGCTGTGCCAGTGGCTGCAGCTGCAGTGCGAGCAGCCGTCATGCCGGAAGCAATGGCGCTGGCGGCGGCCGCCATAGTGCGGGCGGCTGCGGGGGGCACGGCGGCGGCTGAAGGTGCAGCGGGGGCCGCGCTGGCGGGTGCGATTGTGGATGCACTGGCAGCTGCGGCTGCAGCTGCAGCAGCGGCAGCGGCAGCTCTGGCGGCTGCGGCAGCAGCACTGGCAGCAGCTCCGGGGAGCTGCGGCAGCAGCGCTAGCGGCAAGCAGCTGGCGGCTAGCGGCCAGGGCCCGAGTTTGGTTTTGGGGCACCCTTAGGAATAAGGGTAGCATGACAATTTCACCCTGATTTGTAAGGGTGCCATAGGCAAATTCGACCCTAACCCACTGTTTTACCCAAACAAAACCAGGGTATGCTCCAAAAAGTGGCCGCTGGCAAGGGTAATCAAGGTGAAATACCCTTGAATCACTGGTCCTGCTGGCGGCTGCTCTGGCGGCCGGCAGCGCTGGTGGCTGCGGCTGACGAGTGCGGCTGGCTGGCGGCAAGCAGCGGGCAGCCGGAGAGGGTAGCGCGCAGCAGGCGGCATGCAGGGCGCAGCGGGCGGCATGTAGTGGGCAGCGCGTAGCGGGCTGCGAGCAGTGGGTGGCACAAAGCGGGCGGCGAGCAGTGGGTGACAGAAAGCGGGCGGTGCGCAGCGGGCGGCGAGCAGCAGGCGGCGCACAGTGGGTGGCGCGCAGCGGGCGGCAAGCAGTGGGCAGCGGCAGCGCGAGCAGCAGGTGGCAGCGGGCAATGCGAGCGCGAGCAGAGGACAGTGCAGGCAGCGGGCTAGGGCTAGGGCTTGGGCGCATTCTGGGGCGGCAGACTAGGGTGCAGGCTAGGGCGGTAGGCTAGGGCGACAGGCTAGGGAGAGAGGGGAGCGGGGAGAGCCTAGGGCGGAAACGCAGAGGCTAGGACCTAGCGTAGCGATGGCACAATGTCAACTGAGAGAACGGGTGATGAGACACATGCAGGACATGGTTCCTATATTTGTGTCGTACCCTCTATAGTCTACACCTAGCTAGCCTAGAGTACATAGAATATATGTATGTACATTAACAACATGGCCTTCGTTGACAAGAGACCCGCTGGGGTCGCCCTAGAAGATCCTCGGTAGGGCCACATGCTGCTATGTCTGGGGGGCTATGAACGCGTTGACCCGCTACTTAACAAGCCCTTTTAGCACAGTGGTTAGCGGCTGTGTCTGTGGTTAGTATTCAAAGCAGGGGGTCCTAAAATTACTGGTGCCAAAAAACGCCGTCACGGCTGGACGTCGACGCCACGACGGTGCGACGCCACGGCAGCGCGTCGGGACGGCCGCGGCACGACGCGGCCAGCGGCACGATGACGCTGCCACAGTAGCACGACGGCGCCGTCACGCCGCCACGGCTGGACGTCGACGGCGCCGCCACGGCTGGACGTCGACGCCACGACGGCACGCGATGCCACGGCAGCGCGTCGAGATGGCCGCGGCACGACGCGGCCAGCGGCACGACAACGCCGCCACAGCAGCACGACACGGCCACCATGGCAGCACGAGAGGGAGAGAAGGAGTGCGCAGCGGAAGCGTGGGGAGCAGGCCTGGGAAGAGGAACCTGCTCTGCTACCATGTTAAACTAAGGTAGCTAGGAACGGTAGGAAGCCATAGAAATGGCGAGAGGTTTTAGGCTAGGAAAATTGGGAGAAAAGGGGTCGAGAATAGAAGAGAGGGATACAAGGAGGGGAATTGTACCCTCTACAGTAGGTTTCAGTAACACCTACCAAGCCTATCAATTATATAACAAAATATATAATTTAACAAAGAGGACTGCCAAAATAAAAGACCGGCGGGTCTCTTAGCGACGGGTCCATGATCCGGGAGATTACGGTAGATTCCAATTAAAGCAAAACAGCAAGTATTACAAGCAAATATACATCATAATATACTTGTACAAATATATCATATCCATAATATGCCAACTATACCTTACAAGTTTAGCTGCCGCATGAAGATCCATCCATTTCTTTAGCTTCGTCTCGGCTTTTACAGTTAACCGACAAAATTGCTTCAGGGGTTCGGGCAGAGAATCATGTACACTCTACCACCTCTTATGAGCAGCCTCGTTCGCAAAATCCAAACGTGTTGGGTCCAGAATGTTACAGTCAAATTCGCGGTAACACATCCATGGCTTTACACCGAGGTAGTGTATCCCTTGAATCTCCGAGGGGTCTTCTGAGAACCACTTGTTCTTTATAGCGATGATGGCTTGTTTCGCTACAGGGTCTGCAGTCCAGACGGGTTTAAGAGTGTTTATGGATTCTGGTAACCGGTGCCACCAGGTAAAGATGTTGTTCAAATAGCCATGGGCAGGGAGGGAAGATGGGAAAGTGAAGGGATAGGGGCAGGGGAAGATGGTCGGGTTGGGGGCGGGGCGCAGGAGTGTTGATGAGTTTGGGTAACGGGCGCCACTAGGTAAATACGTTTTTTCAAATAACCCTGGGCAGGGAGGGGGGTGAATTGTACACTAATCGGGGTGGAATGAAATGAACTTACACTGGCTTGGGCCGGTGAGAGGAAATCAAAACGGGCAAAGGAGGAGCAGTCTCACCTGGTCTCCTCCATTGGCTGACCGCACTCTCATAAGCTTTTCCATCAGCAGTTGAAACGTGCAATCCGATGGCTCCAAGACCATCACCCCTGAGTTGAAATCAGGGCCGTCATTTCCGCGGGCGGATATCTCGGGGAAGGCGAAGAGGAAGTCAACGCTGGTCAACAGGAGAAGATCCGAGTCAACGAAGACGAGCTTGGCGTAATCCGCCTGCTGCCACAGCCGCAGCTTGCTGGGGGCCGAGCGGGGGGGGAAGGGGGTGGGGGGGGAGCAGAGTCAACAGAAGTCAATCTGAGTAAAAAAAATGTCAACGGGGGGGTGAACGAGTCACAGGGGTCACAGAGAAGACGGGGGAATAGGAGGAGGGGAGGGTGAGAGGGAGGGGGAAGTGCTGCGGGAGGCGAAGCTTGCTGGGAGAAAGGAGAAAGGTGGTCAACAAGAGGGGTCTCGGGAGTCAACACGAGTCAACAAGAGTCAACAAGAGTCAACTGGGGAACAGGTCAAATTCACGAAGAGCCGACCTGCAGACACTGGAGAGTGAGAAGCGATAGGGTGAGAGTTGCCAGTAGTGCATTCGCAACGGGGAACGGGTGTCCTCGCTATAAGCTCGCACCTGTAGTTCCACTCGTTATAAGCCCCCTCCTCAGCGTTCGGGTTTCTTATCCTCTCTATCTCCTTCACTCGACACCCAGCCTCCCTCAGTCCTCGCCTGATCTCCTCTGAAATCTCCTTCGATACAAGCACAACCATCTCACGCGTGCTCTCCGCCCTCCTTATGTTGTGCCGCAGTACTATTGCGCCGCACACATAGCGCTCAGACGAGTGTAGCACTGTAGCATACGCGAAGCGATGTGTGGATGGAGGAAGAAAGGGATGTAAAGCGGTGTGAAAGGAAGGGGAAGATGGAACGGAAAGAGAAATCATCACTCCTCCAACTGCTAAGTCGGCGTATACCTGCCTGCCTGTCAGAACGAAGTTCTGTTAGAATGAAGTAAAAGTTGCTTCTTTTCTCCCGAAATGAAGATGATACCAGAAACTCATGCCAGCGGCCTCGTTGTCCTACCTGGCATGTCGCACTTGATTGGCTGAGCCATGGCGCATGATCCCAGAGGTTGCATACGTATCAGCATGTCATTGGCCGTCAGGTTGTAGAGCCACACGTCCCCCTCCTGCCTCATGAGGAGCGAGCAGTGGAAGAGGTTGGGCGGCGGGCGGCACGCGGAGAGCAGCACCACTGGTAACCAAGGGCGGTGCGCCTGTTACAGAGGTAGAAACCATGGGAGAGAGAAAATCGGGATGGTAGTCGAAGGCACGAGCAGTCATACGAGGTCCAAAGGCCCAATTCGGGCGGCGGGGCGGCAGGAGGAGAGAAACGTCAGTGTTAACCACGGCCCGGGGCAGTGTGCCTGGCAGGGGGGATTCGATGAGGGGGTTGGGATGACAGTAGGAGGTAACACCATTTGTAACCACGGGCGTCCTCGTCTTCCGAGTCGGCATCAAAGGGAGACACAAAGGGACTCCTGTTTTGAAGTTCATTTGAAAGCAGGAGGCCCTCAAACGTTAGCCACGAGTCTTACCCTGGTGACGAACCCTGCGATAGTTAGGAGCTGCTGCTGCCACCGAATATCCTTCGCCCAGGAATTGCTTGGCTCGTCGCAGGGCACTCGTGCGACAATAGCGTCGATGTCGCCCAGCCAATCTGGGTCGTTCGGCTCAGGAATTTTCGGACAGGAAGAGCACGATTCGTTCACGCACTCGGGGTATGCGGTGCTCCAATTCAGCGTCTCGGGCACGTGCGGAACGGGTAACTCGAGAAGCCTGTTACCCCCAAAGTAACCTGTTGCATTCATCTCGAAGTTGAACGTCGCAACCTTCGCGAACGGCAGTCGATTTTATCGCTGAAACGAACTCAGCTCGGTTAAACCGCGGGAGTAGCCGCTTTGAGGAGCAGCAACGAACGGGCGGCATGGATTTTCTACAGTAACGGTAATATCGAACCGCCCAGTAATCGAGTGCCGCGTGGCATAGGAATTGGAAGAGAGATGAGTCAAAAAGAGTATTCCGAGCGCCGCGGGGAAACAGCACGCCAGGAATAAAATCTTATCTCGAGGCTTGAGTTTCAAGAGGGAGGTGAACACTGTATGGGTATTCGTACCACTACTGGTTCTATCGACTTTCAGCGCGACGTGCGGCGAGTGATCCCGAATCAGCGGCGGACTCCATAGCGGCTTATGCGGCGACGTATGTGGCGACGGGCATTCCCCGCCTCTTGACGGGCCACGCGTTGAGGGACTACTGATCATTGCGACGAAATACTTAGTGAGCGACCAGGCGGCACTAACTGCAATTACTAGTGCCGTGCCTTCATCTCTTTATAGACCGACCAAAGCTTAGAACAGAAAGCTTGGAGAGAAAGAGAGCACGTATCTTGACGACGAGCGAGCTGCTTATCGCGTCACATTGTGCGTACTTGTCATGCGCCATTGGATGGAATGCGATGCGACGGAATGGGATGGAACGGCAGTACGGCACATCACCACACCGCGACTCGGCTTGGGAACCGCGTACCTCCCTCTCGCAGCACCACAGCAGCACCACCACAGGTGAAATATCGCGAGCAGAAAGTGGGTGCTGCTGCTAAGTCGTCGTGACCTGAGATAAGTGACTTGAGTGTCTTGGCGTCGATGGAGCGTAGCGGATGAGGGATGTCGAATGGAACTGAAGGCAGTCAATTCAATCACACGAGAAAACCACTCGAGTCGGCTATTGCTCGCGACTCGGCTGAGCGGAGGTGTTTATGTAAGTGTCAGGGTGGGATAATTCGTGTACACAGCGCAGCATAGTGGCTGAGTTCTGCAGACAAAAAAGGAAAGTGCAGTTTACATCAGAGCACCTTCTGAAAGCGAGAGATTTTGCTTCGGATCGAGGGTCAGCCCGCAAATTTTCACCCAAACCTGACACAACGTACCCGAACCTGGTTACATCGACATGCCTGCAGAACAGCTCCATCTACAGATTACATCTACATCAGGGAAACACCCTCGTCGCTTCCCTCCCTGGCAAATCCGACGCAAACTTGACGCAACACTGACGTTCGCTCAATCGCGGAGTTCACCTTATGTCCGGCGTTACATCAGGCGCAAGGGTGTACTAGGCCTCCACACCCCAAGAATACAACCGCCACCACTTTACCCCACCTCGCGAACTTGGGCCTGCCCTGAAAAAAAACAGCAGCTGAACAAACCCATCGCCAACTCACCAAATGCCTGCAGAACTCAGCCAGTGGATAGGGCCA